GTTTTTCGATATGCGATTTTTGGCATTGTCGGCGCTTCGCGAGTCCACCTAACTGCTGCTGGTTTTACATCTGAAACGCCCTCTATTTTGATTGGTTAATATTATTTGCAGGTGGAATCAGCTGCCAATAAAGAGCTCATCCAATAGAAAGCAATCTTTGTGTTTTCGCGCTTTTTCGTCTGTTAAGCAATCGAAGAATTTGCATATGAATCAATTAAAGACTTTTGGGCTTTCATGTTCTTCTCTAAATCTACTTTTTAAAGCATTGCTAATTTTATTTCACAAAGCAGCATACTTATTTTATCTTAGTTTATCCTAGCCTGCGTCGTGCATCTTTTCTCGTCTTTTCCCTCGTATAGACTTAACAGTTAGTTAGAGGTCGGCTCCGTGCACGCAGGCTAAGTTTATCCCCTTCAGTTTTTCTTTTCCCTTCCAAGTACGAAATATCATTACAGTTGATGCACACACCAATTCTCGCAGCAAAAACAAAATATGTACAAACACACGAAAGACACATCCGTACATTCACAAAACGTGCGGACGCAATCACACCCAAAAACCTGAAGGGAAGGTCATCAGAACCAACACACACATAAGCACCACGACGCACAAATAAATGACGGTGTTTGTAAGGCTTTGATGGTAAAGTTATTGATGACTAATAGATTAATAACTTAACCTTTAATAAAACACAAATACAATTCAAAAGCAAATACAAATACCCAATTAACACAAGAGACAGTGAAGCAGAAACGCAGGTAGGTGGGGTAGGGAAAGATTACCCACTATTCCCTACCCATCCCCCGATGTTTTAATGATTCATAATCTTATTTGCGCATTAACGTCTTATAACAGTGCAGACACCCAATGAATAAATCCTGCCTTATTGCGTTATCTGTGTCTTTATCTATAGACACTGGTCACGTTGAATTCAACACACAAAAAAACTAATAACGCACAATCGCACACCGGTATGTGTAAGGAATCTTTCGTATAAGTGATTGAATTCTGATGAATTATCCGCATCATTAGACAACAAATATAATGACAAGAAATCCTAGCACTAATAACAAGTTGGAGTTGAAATGTTATTACCAACCCTAACCCTAATCTTAACATAAACCCTAGCCAAGTTGGGGTTAAAACCCTAGCACCAATTTTGACGACCAAGTTGGAGTTAAGACCCTAGCACCAATTTTGGCCAAATGGGGGCTAAAACCCTAGCTCCAATTTTGACGACCAAGTTGGGGTTAAGAAACTAGCACCAATTTTGACCAAGTTGGGGTTAAGACCCTAGCACCAATTTTGACCAAGTTGGGGTTAAGACCCTAGCACCAACACTCAAAATTTTAACCAAGTTGCAATTGATTATGGGTATCAGGGTACCCAAAAATTGCTAGAAAAGAATGTTTTTTACATTTTTACATTTTCCGAGAGAATGCACAAGCTACTATTTCCCAAAAAAATATTTTTAATGGCGATTATAACTAGCACTAGTCTGACTCTGCATGCAACCTAAATCAGCTGGAGAATTAAATCATATACATTTTCAAATATTTTTCTAGTCATTTGTTGGATTGTTGTGTTTTTTGTTTTTTGAATTGTTTAATTGACTTAATTTAAATTGTTTATTTGTTTCTCCTTGTTTTTACAGATTGATTTATACATTGATTATTGATCCATCGATTAATTGATCTATTGTTCATTATTATTATTATTTATTTCGTTGCTTTTTCATTTGAAGTATGCAAATTAGTCATTGCTGACAGGTACTTCCGGATTCCAAGAAAAACGGAGACCAAAACAAACGCAGGCTCTAACTACCACAGGTAACCCGCCTACACATGTCAAGGAGGGATGGGATTCCTCTCGTCTTCCATTATGCCATGACCAAAAATATTCACATTTTATAATGATATGTAGACGATTGTTCCAGGTTCGACTTGGTAGATTACTTTCTAAAGCTTCCTTCAAACCGAGAATGGCAGAATCACAGTTGCACACTAGCGGACCAAGCTCCAACAAGAAGAATTTTCAAGCTCATCTCTCCAAAGCATCAAATGTGTTGTTTTTGACAGGTGCTGGAGTCAGTGCTGAGAGCGGAATTCCTACTTTCCGAGGCGCTGGAGGATACTGGAGGACTTACCAAGCGACAGACCTGGCCACTTTGGAAGCTTTTTACCAGAATCCATCGCTTGTTTGGGAGTTTTACAGCTACAGACGCAAGGTTGTGCTCTCCAAGAAGCCTAACCCTGCTCATATTGCAATTGCAGAGTTTCAAAAGAGATACAGGGACTTAGGTAAACAAGCCTGGGTGATAACACAGAATATTGATGGCTTACATCAAGCAGCTGGGGCAGAAGATGTCATTGAGCTTCATGGTAATAAAGAATGAAAAAGTTTATTTAATTTAGTTATAAATGATACGTTGAGCTTTTGCTGTTCACTTTGCTGTCTGTTCTTTGCCTCAAGCATGTCCTCAATCATTCTTATCGAATTCAGTCATTTGATCTTTAATGATACCAGAAACTTTATTTATTTATCACTACTTAAGGTCCTACTGAAGAGATTGAACTTAAAAGAATGTCATACGCTTACAAATCATTCATTCCTTTTTTCCTTCCTTTATTCAAAGAGTCATTCTATTTTTTCTTTCATTCATTGCTTCATTCATCCACTTCACCTATTCTTTCACTAATTCATAATCACTCATTCATTCTTCCATCAGGGACCATGGAGCATAGCTTTTTTTTTTTTTTTTTTGGGGGGGGGGGGGGGAAGGGGGGGAGGGGGTTAATCTGGGAGGTCCAGGGGAATACCCCAGCTCTCCTTTTTTAACATTCTTGAAGTTGAAAAACAAAATTCCAGTGCCATGGTTTTGATAGACACTACAGAAATCATTTTTAGCTAAAAACGTGGGGGGCTCCTGCCTCCTAGTGGCTGCCCAATAATTTGTGCATTCATTTGTTTATTAAACATTCCTTTCATTAGTATTTGTCACTTTACATTCAGGTGCATTGTTCAAGACTAGATGTTTGAAATGTGGGCATGTAGAAGAAAACAGGAATAGCCCTATAGTCCCTGCACTGTTTAATAAAGGGTCAGTACTGTCAGTTAAAACCCCTTTAAGAATGACCATTTAATCTCTCTCTTTTTCCCCAAAGGATTATTTATTGGTATAACTTTCTGGGACATTTTTAGCACTATAATATACCTTTGATTATTTCCATGTCTACACTTGATTCAAAAAAAGGTTGTCACAGAGAAAGGAAAACATTGAATGTCAAATGGGAATTGCATGGCAAAAAGGAGCTAGGGTCTTTTATTTCTTACAAATACATCTTCAGTGCCACAAATGAATTTTCATTCTTGGCAAATCCATGTTTTCAGTCACTTTTTTAAATTAAAATCTAATAAGCATAATCTTAGTTCCTTTTGCTGTTTGCCATTCACTATCTGAATTAATTATTCCATCGAACAGCTTTGTTTGAAAAATAAGTATATTTCACTCCGCTACATTCTCCATGTTTCTCTAGCCTCACTTTAATATTTTTTAATACTAATTAATACTAAGTCAATACTAGTTAAATATACTAGTTTAAAGTTGTTTTCTTTTATATATTCAGCACCACTTCACAATAAACTGTATTTTATTGAAATGCTTTCTGAATCCCACATGAAACAATCCGAACTCCACACAATAATTATGCCATTAACAATTAGAATTATATTCATATTTAGTTAGCTGTTTATAAATATTAAATCACATGACCAAGGTTTTGTTGAATCTTGCAATAATGTTGTCAGAATCTGGAATTCCTGTCTAAGCATTACTTATTCTCACTCATTAAATAATGCATAATTATTATCATTATCTTCATATTATTATTGATCTTTAGAGCACCTGATCATGATGCTAAAGATGCAGCAATACCATTATCAGAACTGCCAAGGTATCATTATATATAGCTCTAATCCAAAGCATGGATGCGTGCATTATATATAGCTCTAATCCAAAGCATGGATGCATGCATTCATTTATTCTTTTTTTCAATTATTCATAAAGGCTTCCATCCATCCATCCTTCCATCCACCCACCCACCCATCCATCCATGCATGCATCCATCCATCCATTAACTCATGCATTGATCATTTGTTCATATTTCTTTACTCATGTTCCTTGATTTCTGTTTTTCTCAGATGCAATCAGCCAGGTTGTGACTCTTTAGTCCGTCCACATGTCGTATGGTTTGGTGAAGCACTGTTTGATGACATACTAAAGAAAACCAGTGAGGTCACGGATGCTTGTGATTTCTGTATTATCGTAAGTGATTCATGCCATTAAGTCTGATTATTCCTTAATAGTAGTCTGATTTTTTTAAGCGTGTAATTGCGTAGTTCCAGAAAATATCCATACCCCACCCACGGAGGAAATTGGAAATTCTAGAAGGGAGTGGGATCAGAGAATGCACAACTTCAACAATACAAACACTTTGAAATTCCACTGAATTGCAGATACCAAATAAAGGGCTTTTTGGGAAACCATTTTGAGTGGTGGCTATGATGACCTCAATCATCCAATAGTTTTTTAGTTATTGGATATCAAATGGTGTCATTTATCTTGGAATATATATTTTTTCAATTATTGCACCAATGAGGTTTCTTTCCAATTTGATCAGTCATAATTTAATGCTCGTTATGAAAAATTACCAGAGGTTATTGGCCAATAAGAAATGGGGAAGATTTTGAATTTTATGTTTATAATAATATAAACATCTCCTTAGGTTGGCACCTCATCTGTGGTTTATCCAGCTGCAGGATTTGCACCCCAATTAGCAGGACGTGGGGTCCCTGTGGCAGAATTCAACATGGAATCTACTCCATGTACTGGGGTTTTCAGGTAAGTTTGGTCAAAACAGTGGTGCAATTACAATAAATGTTATTGATTTATGTTACAGGCATTGATAAATAAACATCCACTCCAGACCTCCTTTTCACTTCCAGAATAAATGGGGGTACAGTATACGTAACCCACCCCTCCCCCTGTAGAGTTGGCATTCAGGCAAGAGTAGGCATAGCAGGGTCATGGAGCACCCTAAAAACTTGGGAGGGGGGGGGGGGGGGGGGGTGACTATTACAAAGGTTTTACCAGGAATTTGAGGAAAAGGGGGTTGTCTTTTACTAACTATATAGGGGAACGGGAAAGCAGAGGGGGGGGGGGGGGGGGAGGCGGCTATGATTGAAACTAGTATGGGAAAAAATGGGGGAGGACTAATATTGGAAATTATTAGAGACTAGTATGGGAAAATGGGAAAGCAGCCCCTGCATAGGTGAATAAAGAGGGAGGGTAGGCATAGATGGATCAATACCTAATGGATCCAGGTAGTCTAAATCTAAGTAGATTTGGCATTCAGGCAAGAGTTGGTGTTCAAATCCAGAGGAAGAGTAGGCTAAGATAGATCAGTACCAATGGATCCAAAAAGAGTGAACAAGTTGGTCCAGGGGGAGGATGGAGGGTAATGAGTTTTAACCTGATAAAATACCAAAACAAATTCTTTTCTATCACACCCTAGCTTCCATTTTCAAGGCAAAGCTGGTGAAACCTTACCACCCCTTCTGAAACTTGAAACCCAAGATTCCTAGTTACCACATATTAAAAACAAGGTGAGTTTGTCTGAAAATGATCATTTTTTCTGTACGTTTAATCATATTTTCATCTTGACGGCCCATTAGAGGCAGGCCTAGTAATTTGTATAATATTATTTTATGACTGGTATTTACTATGTTACATGGTTTCTTTAGTATTTGGTATTCTTTTTACATGGCTTAGGTTGTATGAAGAAAGATTCTCAACTGTCATGTCTTGCAGGATTGATGGACCTTATTCTTTGATCTTGGTGTAATGTTCTGCCCATTTCAGACCACAGGTCGATTCCCTAGAGTATTATTTCTTTGTTTAGTGGCTGTGCATGAGAAGAACCATGAATATGAATAAAACTCAAGCAAAGAATCTTATATTCTCAAGAGAATGTGTAATGGTCTGAAAAGTGGGAGGACATTTACACACCCAAAGGAATAAGGTCTGTTAATTTAGAACATGAAGTATTTCTAACTAAGTTACAGAATTATTTTTTAATTTTAAAACTGCATGCAAATTTTGGTGCCTAATTTAAGTCATTTTATAGATATTTTATTTTTTCATGTATTTAAAGCACAATGATGAACACTAAGTTGTTGTAATACTATAATAATTATCGGGAATCTATTGGGTCATGCTTTCCATTCGGCAACATGAAATCTAAAGCATTAAGTATTCAGTCCCTGCACGACATAACAATTATATTAGTTGATCTTTCTTGTCTGGAAAGTTGGCCATCTATGGCATTAATTTTCTGACCAACTTTTATGTTTTGAGAACTATAAACTTAACAGTGTTTGGTCGTAATTAAATGAATGAATGGTAATTACATTATGTATATATATGAGTCTGACGCAAAGGTTCTTACATCTAATAAAGCCTCTGCATGTGAAGTCAAAGCAGCTCAAGTTGGAGGACAAAACCAAAGAATTTCAATCTCCTGAGAATTGAAAACCTATTGTTTTGCCCTTCAAATTGAGCTGCATTCTGACAGTCTGCAATGGATCTATACCAACTGTGTTATGCACATGTTACCACAGAAGGTCTTGAGACAAATTTTAAAATGTCCATTTTTCATCCATGCAATTGAGTTGGCTATTACGTAACAATAGAGCAGTTTTCATAATTGACGGTGAAAAATATACATGCCTTCATGCTATGCTGTTCTAGATCTGTGTCATACAGCATGTTGCAACTTAAGGGTTGTACCCTAGAAAGATTTCAAAGGGTTTTGGGACCCCTTTTTGAGTTTGATATTTTAAAATTGCCCTCGTTGTTGAACCTTTTGGAATGAACATTTTCTAATATGAGAGACCACATTGCAGACATCTAGGTTTGCTGCTGTTATTTTAACAAATTCTATACCAGCTGTGCTTGTGTCAACACAGCTACCTACTGCTATCATTTTCCACACTCAAATAAAATCTGATCAATGATACACAGGTACATAATCTTTTATCTCTCATTAAAAATAGTGCCAATTTTTTTATTGGTACTTGCATATGTACTCTAAGAAGTGATGCAAGGTAATATTCAAAGTGTTATTGCTAAATTATATTGTGAATGACAAATGATTGATGGTAGAAAAATACTAGTCTAATATTCATACAAGGGTATACTAGCTGAAGGAATACTAGGCAGAATAATTATCGTACAAGGAATTCAATACCTTTTGGGGTATAATGCATACATGTTTCAATGGCAACATTTAAGAAAGACTCATCTTTCTACTGTTAATTGCAACTGATGTGGATGTTCCCCAAAATGGTTTTTAATTTTCAAGAAACTGAGTTTGATTAATGAACTTGATGGAAACATGCTTTCAAATTATAAAACTATTTCTTGATGAAATAAATACATAAATTAGCACAAAACTATACTGGGATATGATTTTGATAATAGCCAATAAACATCCTCATATCTTAGACCATTTTTTGCACAAAATAATAAATGTAAGGTAACTTTTCAATTTAATTTTTATCATTAGTTTATCAATTTCTTTTTTGATTTTAGATGAATGATTTAACAGAAATATTTACCAACATAATTTAAAATATTTTTGATAAGAATGGTTTTCATAGTTTCGTTAAAGTAGGTATAATATAATACAGTATTTTGAATGTTCTAAAAAAATCTTCTCAGTGATTACGTGACAGCACGTCAAGTGCCATATTTGTGAATTCAAGTTGATATTTTGATTTTTTAATCTTCTTCATCATTAGTGCTTATTGATATTGAGATGGCAGCTGATAGAATTGATGAGAAAAATCAAATATTTAGTCAGTGATTATCTAAATGAAAAATGTTTTTGACTCGTACTAGCTTATTTGAATTAGATTCTCTTGATTTGGAAACTTTTCCTTTTACATTTTTTTTCCTTCCTTTTTTTCAGAAAAAAATGATCAATTTTTGTATGGATCTTCTTGGTTTGAAATAATATCTCTGAATTGTTTTTCTCTTGACTCAAAATAATATTCCACTTCATCATTGCACCTGTTTTGTGCACCTGTCTGAGTGTATTGATATGAATTTAAGATAATTATATCTCCTAATTAAAAGTATATTCTATGTTTTTTATATTGTATTTTTCAGTCTATAATCAGAGAGAAAGAGTCAGTCGACGTGCAAATATATATGCATGCTTTTAGAATTTTGAATCTTTTAACATTTGCATAGTGAATCTTAAACTGATGCAAACATAAAAAGTCTGAACACATAATTTGACGATAGATGTAGAATTACAGCAGTCAAAAAAATTCTTCAAAAAATCCAGGGATTTCTTATACTCCTAAAATATTGGTGTTTATAGATATCATTTTTGCAGGAGTTGAGTATATTTTTTATAAGTYGTAGGACAACTTTTTCAATATCAAACTACTTGGCTGTATTTGAGAAGAGTTTCCTGTCATAATAAAGTTTAAATGGTTTCATTCAGCTGATTGAAACCAGTCAATATGTGCTTGCCAGCAATGTACTTCTAACTTTTGATTGCAATCATCTTATCTTTGCGTCTTTATAAGAATTAATTGTACCATCATCACCTTGTATGAAGGAAACTATTCCTTTTCCTGGTAAAATCAGTCTAAAATTTTCACATGTGCAATATTGCATGCGTTTTTTGTTTTCTTTGTGTTTTGTTCACATTATCATTTCTTTTAACTTAATAGGTTTTTGAACCTTTGATTTGATCAGAATAATTCACTGACACCAGTTAATCTTGGTCAGTCTTTAAGTCTCAACTTTTGAATTCATTTTTCCGTCCTATATTAAATAATATTTTTTGAAGACATGTCTCGAATTAAGTCACCTACTGCTGAAGGTTGTATTGTTGTTTTTTGAAGAGAATCGTCTTTGTTGTCATGGATACTGGATGTCTTTGAAGATTGTAGTTGAAGAAGTGTTGAATAAATTATCTGCAGTGACCTACACCGTATTCTCCCACCTGTAATAGAATAGAAATATTTTCAATTTCAAGTATCAATTTCTCTCCCCTTCATGCTTGTTTTACGCCCTATATCGCAATGATGGAAATCACTTTCTGGACGTATTGTGTGACTCTTAAAGGCTTTAACGATTGCGTGACTCAAAGTTCGAGCGAACTATTGCGTGACTGGTCCGAACACATGGCTGAAATGCGCGGATACTTGCGCGATTGCTATTATTAAATTTGTTTAGTCAGGTACAAGTTATCCTGTGTGACCTGCTTAAAAAACGTGGTCACGTATTGCGTGACGCCACTTATAATACTTTACAACAAAGAGTCAACTACTGACCTGATATCCATGGTGAAAGACTGGTACCATCTCATAGGCAGGTGTAACGTACGGGGCCATTCTAACCCTCATGGCTCCTGTCGAGTTATTAGGGTAATAATTGAGTGGGCTACACCCCAGTCCATTGGAAGGCAACACGCAGTTGTAATAAGGTGTCTGTTGATGTACAAACATAGTAGGTGGGCTTCGAGAGGGTGAGGGTACCATTGGCGAATCCACCGTGTGGCCATTCATGTGACTTGAGTTAGCATAGCCCATGATCCCTGAGGTGACGGGATACGTACATGTAGGGGTGTAAGACATGTTTCCCATTGGTGGGATTTTTGTTTGGTTCAATGTGCTGCTGGCGATAACAGCAGCGATTTCAGAATTCGAGCATGGAAATACTTCGATGTATCGTTCGCCCATGTGGTTCTTGTGTAAGTCGCTGGCCGCAGCCTGGGCGACCTCTTGGGAGATAAGCTGGACGTAAGCGTCGCCAGATGGTCGGCCCTGTTTAAAGTAGAAAGAGGCACGGTCGTTAGGTCAAAGAGTTCGATTACTAATAGCTCGCAGGCTGTACTAAGAGATTACTTTCTCATAAGTGTTTCGATTATTTTCGACATCCTGCTGTGTTTAATAGGAAAATGGGTTATACATACAATAAACAAAGAAAGGGCATGTTGCACGGTATGAAGATGATGATGATAATGAAGATGGCAATGCTTCAATGCTTGATGATGATGATAATGATCATGATTATACGATTCTGGATGGTGAGGGTGATGACGATGATGACGATGACGATTAGAATACTTATACTGACAGTTGCTGCCGGTCAGCTAACCGCACAATGATCAGTGTTTTGCCTATCAAAGGCAGGCAAATTACCCAGAGTTTAGCCGACAAATGTCGGTGTGTCAGTCATGACGCTTAGTTTCTGATGTCTGCTGTTTAAATACCTCTCGAAACAGCTCTAATTCTCTTGTTGACTCAATTTTTAGGAGGACGTTTTGTTGAACACATTGCGTGACTGAGACGTCATTATGTCGAATACCAGGGTTATATCAAATGTAACATGGTGCGCAGACAAAACTTCCTATTAATTTGTTACATTATCTCATCTGTTGTCATGACCCTCGTTAATGGGTTGATACATACATGGAATCAAATGGTTATCAACTGACCTACTAACCTGTGTATTATAAACCATATGTACTCCACCAGGCGCGACGTACGCCGCATGCTCCTTCATGAAATCCAGCACATCCTGCACAGAAGCCGAGAACGGAAGTCCTCGTAACCTTAAACAGTCCTTGGCATTCCCCCCGGCATTAGCCGTGTACGGTGTAGGGGGAGGAGGAGGTAAAAACACCGGTGGATGGAACGGCGGGTGTTGATGTAGCGGTGATGGAAGCATAGCTAAGTGAGGCATTCCCGCCATAAGATTACTAGACGTGCTAAGAACCTGTTGAACTTCACTCTGTGAGCTGCGGAAAAGTTCCACGTATCGGGAGCCGAGGACTTCCCGGTGTTTTTTTAAGGCGGCGCGGCCGTGTTCTTCTGTTTCGAAAAGTACAAACGCGTCTCCTGTGGCTTTACCGTTGCGACCTCTAACCATTAAAATCCCTGTCTCCCCCCGATATACTGGAGCGTCTTCTCCGAAGAATTTTACCTGTAGAGAAAGATGATAGTTTAGGATGAGGATGATCAATGCCAGAGTTCCTATAGACTCCTTGCATTGCTTTCCTAGAGGAATTGTTGTGTGAGACAAAACAACAGGCCGTCTTTTCTCATGCAAAAAAAATCCATTGTTTTGTCCCCCAGGACAATTACTCTCGGGACTCAGTGCAAGGGGACTTTACGTCCTCATTGGTTCATTTTTTAAGGTCCATGTTGGTTGGTGTTGATAAAGAAGGGTAAAATCAAAGAGATCTACCCTGCGATGCAAATGGTATAACTCACGACTTCTGTTGGCTTTGTGCTGAACGGAAGACCACGCATGCGCACTATGACTTCAGCTTTTGTCGATACAAAGTTTGCTGCGATCTGTGTTACGTCTATAGGTCCTGCAAGAAAACAGAAATCGTTTTGGTTTAACTGCAAATGCAAATTTTCATAGTTATCTGCCACTCTTTTTGAAAGAGGCGCGGCTAGAATTTGTCTTTGTGACCACGCTTGCTTGAGATTAAAAAAAAACGGACCTAATGGATCAGAAGCTAATTGGATAAAATAACGCATCCGAGATGGGATATATATAGGATACATATCGATATGAAGGCTTACCTCTGACAATTCGTAAAAAATCTTGGGCTGTTGCTTTGTACACCTGTAGAACGACAGAAACATTAGCGCGGATATTTCAGGAGTCGAAAACGTTGCGCTCAAATGGCTTTCCTCCTCAACCAATGAAATAGCAAAGGGACACGTGCTTTCCAATCGTTGTGCTTGAATTTGTAGATCATAGGAATTTCAAGTCTTATTTTTCCCTTACACTCAAATGGCTTCCATCTATTCCATTCGACCCAATGAAATAGCGAGGGAACACACACCATCTTATCATACCGCTTAAATTTAAAAGCTATTCGAGAGTCATGGTACTGCCAGAGAGTTCATTGGAATCTTTCGTTTTACTGTGACACTCAAATGGCTTCCATTTCAACCAACAAAATTAAATCGAAGTGCTTGAATTAGGAAACCATTGGAAATTGGCCTGACACTTAAATGGCTTCCATTCGAACTAAAACATACTGAGGGAATATACACCATCATGGTACTTGAATATGGAAGGCACGGTTTTCATTTGAACCAATCAAATAGCAAGGAGATATACACTATCCAATCATAGTGTTTGAATATGAAAGCCATTCGAGAGTCATAGCACTGAAAGTTTCACACTAGAATCTACATACACCGTCCAATCATAGTGCTTTAATATGAAAGCCATTCGAGAGTCATAGTAGTGAAAGTTTCACACTAGAATCTACGTACACCGTCCAATCATAGTGCTTGAATATGAAAGCCATTCGAGAGTCATAGTACTGAAAGTTTCAGACTGGAATCAGTTGTCCTACTTTGACGCCTATACGGTTTTTATTTCAACCAATCAAATAGAGAGGGGAAAGACACTGTCCAATCAAAGTGCTTGAAGCCATTCGAGAGTCATAGTACTGAAAATTTCACACTGGAATCTGTTGTCCTACTTTGACGCCCATACGGTTTTTATTTCAACCAATCAAATAGAGAGGAAAAAGACACTATCCAATCATAGTGCTTGAATATGGAAGCCATTTCAATGATATCTTTGAGTCACCTTCAGTAAAATTAACTGATATATTCATTATGATCATGAATATATTTTATTTTGTTTTAAATTTTACTCTATCTTTTGAGACATCTAAAATTTGCTATCCAGCTGATTCCATTATTAAATCTATTTAACTTGTTTTGAGCAAAATAAGGCTCACAAATTTCCTTCACAGTCACGCTCGTATAAAACTAAATTCAATATAAAATTCTCAATTATTCTTTTCCCGCTTTTTCCATTTAAAAATTTATCCCAGTTTCTGGAGAAAAAGGAGTTTAATCAGCGAACAAAAAATTTTAAAAGTTTTTTACGAAAAAAACAATAGAAGAAAATTGAAAATCGAAAATTGAAATTTCTTATTCTTTTTCCATTATTTCAAAACGAGAATTTGTCCCACATTCTGGATAAGAGTATTTTAAGTCATAAGAGAACAAATAATTTCAGGAATTTATGAGGGAAAAAATCGACGAAAATTGAAACGAGAAATTAAGCTGTTTTGTAACGAATTTAAATAGTGAAAATATGAACAGAAAAATGAGAATTTTAGTAGTCTTGTCAGTTGTTTTACTTAATGACATATAATGAAGAAACCCGAGTTCTTCTGTCTCCGTTTTCACTAAGAAACTAAATATTCAACGGATATGCTCTTAATTTGTTCATATAAATTGATCTCCACTGAAAATTGGAAGTTTTCCTTGATAAAATCTTAAAAACTGCCTCTAGTTATGTATTGATTTTTCCTCTTCCTTTCGACTCTTATTACTTTTGAAGATCTATCTCATCTTGCTTGGAGTTCGTCATTTGCTTTAGAGATTGGGGGCTAAATTTTGCCTCGTGGGGGAAATGATGATGCAACATAGATAATTCTTCTTCATTGCTCACGATTTCATAAAATTTCAACTAAAAAATGATAAACGGGTCACTTTTTTTCTCTTATCCCCCATAAGTCCTAAGGAAAACTTATACTTAGTTCAACATCAAGAAATTCCGACATTACTATCTCTGAGGTGTCTTGACTGACACTTGAGACTTGTTCACAGATTTACACCACTTTTTCAAAAGAGTTCCTGCGATAAACGTAGTTGGAAAAAATCCTCAGATACTTAGACCACCGCGAAAGATCTCATAACACTTCCTTAATGATTTTTAGTATTTCCCAAGGAGAGCTGTGATCTTCTATTTTTAAATTGACAAAACTAATTGTACTACACAGGCAGCTTAGATATGATCAGACAGTATGGAAATGATGAAGTTTGCACGAGGGATATCTTAGGAAATCAAACGCTTACCTTATCAAGGAGTTTTAGTTTCTACCGCGACAAGCCGCGAGTCAGAATTCTCACGGATCAAAACCGAGTAAACGGAAACCTCCATGGCTTGCTATTAATAATGGAATTCTTCTAGATTTCTATCTTAGATACAAGGCATTTATTATTTAAAACTGTATTGTTCTCAGTGTTATTTTGAACACTGCTGCAGTATATTTAAGAATCTGTCGCTTTGAAAATTTGCCATATTTTTCGTCTTACTTTTTTTCGTTTCTCTGATACTGATACACCTAGTTTTTTAAAAATGCATTTTTTACAGTAAGGATTAGATCGTCAGTGACTATAGTTTTTGGCGATAAAAATGTCTAGATTTTTTCGTTATCTTTCAAAGAAAATGAGGAACTCAGCGCGCGACAATCCAGAAAAGGAAAAAAAAAACTTGGTAAAAAAAAAAAACTTGGGGAAAAAACATATATTTGATTGCAACAAAAACCTTGCTTTTCAATTCTCCTAAGACCTTCCTCTCATTTCATAACGTAGTATCCATATTCTTGTATTTTTTTAAACATTTTTCTTGTTTTGAGGAAGTTGTTTTGATGTTTCCCCAAGTGTAGGTGTAATCGTGTCTTGCTGTGAGCTTTGTGGCAATCACTAGCAACTCGAATCATTTGCGCGTTTTCTTGTGTTCTATTTGCGCGTTTTTGCATGCATTTACGTAAGTGCGTCCTGTATATACGTTAGACTTCATAATGTGTCCCCATAGACAACACATTAAATAATTTTCACGGATCAATTCTTAGGTTTCAATAGCCTTGTTGCCCACCTTCGCTCTCGATTTTCTCTAGACTCCTTTCAAACCGGCTCCATGTTGCATATGCGCGTTTTCCCGCGCATTAACGTCAGTGCGTCTCCCATATACAACACTTTGAATAATTTTCACGGGTCAATTCTTAGGTTTCAATACCGTCGTTGCCCACCTTCTCTCTCAGTTCTCTCTCTCTTAGACTCATTTCAAACTCACCTCAATATATCTCGTTCCTAGATGCATCTTGTGTCTTTTAAGGGCCAAATCTTTGTGTTCTCCGCTCTCAAACCGTATGAAGGCTTCACCGTTTCTTCTCCCTTGCATATTCAAACAGAAGGCTATCCCTCCTCTGGCGAAACGATGAATAAAGAAAATGTTCAAAACAACTTTATCACAACAGCGTAACGATCAATTCGTTCAACGAAGTATAATTATTATCACTTTTACATCTTGCATGTTCACATGTATATATATTAGTAGCGATTCTTATGTGTTTTGGGTACTCGACATGGTCTAGGGTGTTATGAGTCGATCTATTGTCATTGATACTCTAGCAGCCCATAGTACCGCCCATTCGTGAATAATAAAACTTGAATCTACATTTAATTATCGAGCGTGGTTCGATAAATACAGTTTAAGATGTATAGAGAAGGAGCACCTAGATTCCTTAAGATACATCTTGGTCGTATCCAGTTTTGGGAGGGGAGGGGAGGGGTGGGGGATTGTGACTCGAAATCAGTGGGAGAAACATTCTGCTCTGATACTTATTTTTACTTTTTCCTTTTCTGGGGATTAATTCCATTAAAAATATAAAATTAATGTAATTACGACGCAAACAGGAAAACTTATCAAGAACCGCATAATGCATCACTACAATCCATTCTACAACTATTGTTTTATCTCAACGAGTTCCCTTAATTATGCTCTTTTAACTTTCAAAATTATAATGATAATAAATAATAAAAATAATATGATATTTCTTACTCTATTAGAAAAATATAATCTTTGGCATGCAAATGTTTAGAAAAACCTTATGTAGTATTTGTTTAGGATTAAAAACTTATGTGTCTAAGTGATTCGAGTCACGGTCCATCAAATTATGCACAGACGAACGTATAATATATATACATTTATACATATATATATATATATATATATATAAGATCTATAAGGAATATGGATTTGCTTAATGTGTAGTAGAAAATCTATTTACCCTACCTTCTTAGGGCTATCAGAGAACTATAGAAATATCAGACTAAGTAATTTATAAGTTTAAATGAAATCCTAAAGAAGTATCCAAACGAGGATATAGTAAAGTGGGTTGTAAAAGGTGGTTGTTGAGAATGCCTTCAAAGCCCACCGTAATGCTATTATCAATTACGACCACTTGAATTTCAAGATAACCTGTTAACATTACTTCTAAGTTCTGGCATAAGCTATTTCAATGATTATACCTGTTTTTCGCGGACCTAGAGCGTCTGTTGGTAGTGTTTTCAATTCGTTCTCAAGTGAGTGCTTTGCAAACCTTACGTGTCAAACAGTCTGCTATTCTCGGCTTCCCATCATACAATAGAAATCTTTGAACCCGAGAGTGGTTAGGTCAATATTAATTAAATCAAACTCTTCTAGCCCGACATACGCAGAAAAAAACTAGCTACTAAATAAAGCAGAGAGATTCTCCAACTCTTTTAAAAAACGAATATTCCATGGGCAGACGATTTCTTTACTAAGTGTATTTGTAAGCCAATCATTTCAGTTGTGAGTGGGTCGAAAATGCGGAGGCGTTATTTTTTTTGGACAAGAAGCTGATTATTTTAACGCTAGTCAAGAAAGGCTTAGTTCATTTTGACGTATAGTCTACCTACTAGGAGGGCAAATACTGATGAATAGAGTAATCAAATCTTTTCTTTATTTATGAAGAAACCTGCTTTGAGACTAGATCTCCCACGCCTTTATGAAAACGCGCTATGCATGCATGCGATGTCGTACGACATGGAAGTCATTGATGTGAAGAGTCTCAATAGATTAGCACGGGAATAAGGAATCCTTCGGCTATATACGGCGCGTGAATTCATATTAAACTAATGCCCCATCTTTTCCAGAAGAGGCACGTTCGTGACATCCTTCACAATCATTGTTTTCGAGCTGCAAAACCTATTGTTTACAAAATCCAAAGAGTAAAGTTTTATGTATATTGTGTTCTGTCGATAGCAAAATAAGACCTCATGCTCAGCTCTGACAAATGTCCAATACCCACGCCGATGTTGTATCTGAAAGAGCCTCCCAGTATGCCTTCAAAACAAACGCTTCCTCTCTTTGTCTGAAAAATTACTGCTTCTTGTTTTCTCAAAATATTGCCTGGAGAAAATCTGTCTATTATAAATACTTGTGAGATCTCAATCTGTCACCCTCAAAGAACCTTAAAAATTCTTCTATCAAATATTATAAAACAATAATTTTGACTTGAATGACAAAAACGATAAAAATATGTCATATATTATTAATAGTCATAAGAAAAGTATACGAAAACATCTATAAGACGTTTTTTCATAATCTTATTTTCTTATCTTAGTTGTTTAGACTAGGAAAAATAATTTCTAGTTGAGTTTATCCTAAATCTCATTGAGTATTATTCTATTGATATATACGGTTTTGATATCATGTTCTTGATTAATTTCAAAGCAGTTTTATACTAGTTTATACAGTTCAATTATTCGTCATATTTCTCTTACACTCAGCTCCCTTGTTGTCTTGATGACGGTTTCTCTATCCTCGGGAACCCACGAGTAAAATTCTGTCGCTCCTTTCTCGCTCCCAGAAAAAAAGAATTTTCTGGGAGCGAGAAACAAGCGAAGGTTTCCGAAGATGCGGTTTTTCCTGTTTCAAAAATAAATCAAGGACTTTGTGATAAGAGAGCAAGATAAATAGTCTTGTTTTTCAGTCCTAATGATCATGATAATTCCTGTTTTTGGCAAAACTTTCCTTAGGGGTGTTTATATTAGAATGGAGTGGGATGCGGAAGAGGAATCGGAACTCCAGTAGGTATCAGATATTCAACTAGTAACGAATACTGTCAATTAGATTTCAAACCCTCTTTGAAGCTGATAGTAAGTCAGAGACGTAGCGTTGGAAATAAATATAGGGAATGAACCTTTCGTTGTCGACCGGTCGTCTGTTGAAATGAATGGTCGTTGCTCAGAGACATAGTATAGTTGACCTGTTTGAAGCCGATTGTAATTTAGACACATTGTAAATAAATGTATGAAATGAACCTTTCGTTGTCGACCGGTCGTTGAAACTCAGAGACATAGTATAGTTATATATAATCGACCGCAGAAACTGCTTCTCAGTTAAAATACATTTAGATAGTCGGTCATAGACTGTCGCTTCCGAAAAACGAGTTCAAAAAGTGTTAATAATTGAACCTCTCGTATACGATCGTTAAAAAGTCGAATCGACCAGAGGTGGTCACTAAACGTTACGGTAAATTGTTGGCAAGCTCAATTTGAAAATATTTATTATTGATAAAAAGCTGGAATCTCGTTTTAGATACTTTAGGTAACGGATCTCAAGAATAGCATTTTTTAAGCAAAGAAAGATGTTTTGGCAAAGTTATTGTTATGGGCTGCCTGTAGTTTTCTTAAAATACAAAAGCCCAACACGAGGCTTCCTTTTGTAATTGAATGCGGAATCAACTCGAGAGCGGGGTGCTTTGGGTCAAGTGGTGCTTACCTAATGATCGTCATCCTATTGAATTCATGTCAAAAACAAAACTATTGAAACCATCAAACACTGAATTGATTTTCACTCAATCTAAATTTCTCACCCAATTTTTCCGAATTTTGGTCGAGATTTTTCGTTAAAATGTTTTTCCTGTTTAGTGTGTAAGAGATTGTACTTGGGATTTAGACAGCTTATCGTTTAATCTTATCAAAGTATATGGTCATCGATTGGCTGCTTAACTTAACCCAACTTCAAAACACTTCAGTCGCTCACTGCTCACTTGTTGACAAGGCATGTGTGGGAAAATATTTCATTCATCAATCTGTCTCTTAAACTTCTAGGAAATGACGAGTCTAACGACTAGGGGGGGGGGGGGGGGGAGAAATATATGCTTATATTGCGGGGGATCTTAGCTTCCCACTTTTGAAGTCCCAATTTCAAATTTCTAGTGGGCAGGGGGGGGGGGGGGGGGGGGAGGGAGCAATATATGCTTATATCTGTATATATTTATATACACTCGATTGCAGAAACGTTGTAGGGTACATTTATACATTTATACAAATATCTAATGAGATGCATAATACAAAATAACCATTTTCAACGCTTAAAACCAACTGATTTATAATCTGTACGATCTAATAGACAAGAAAAATATTTTTTGACAGTCATTGAATGAAACGCACAATAAATAAGGCGTTTTTTCTGTTTTGCATATCATTAAATATACTGAATAAATTAGATATTTGTATAAATGTATACTACAACGTTTCTGCAATCGAGTGTATTTTTATCTGTATATATATTTATGTATTTATTTATTCCAAACTGAGTTAAAACTAGAAGAGATAACTAGCTAAAAACTAGTGTGAGCTGCGTCGGTGTTTCTAATGAAACAACAGTAATGATAAAAAGGTAAATTATACACCGTGAAAAGATGAAAAAACTTACTGACGTCGTTTCGGGCACTAGTCCTTCGTCGAAGTAAAAAAGAAAGACTGAGGTGGTAGGAGTTAAAAGTAGGTCAGAATGTGGTTTGAAGAACTGGGCAAAACCAGAAGAAAGGATAAAGGAAAGAATGGCAAGACTTAGGGACTTTTCTGAAAGAAACGTTTGGAAGAAAAGGGAGCGCACTCGAGAGAGAGAAAACTAAAACACGACCAACTAAAAAGGTTTTCAAAGCTCTCAATTTCTTTTTCACAACATAATTTCTTCTCTATTTCTAGCGCACCTTTAATAGTATATGACCCAAAGTATGGAATATGTTCGCTTTTCAGAATTTCAATGGCATATATTTTTTCTAACTCACCTCATAATATTGAGCCCACGAAAAAAATTCGCCACATCTTGATCCGATGCTTGCCAGGGGAGTCCTCTCGCTCGTAACACCGTCTCGTCTAAAACTGGACCGATGCTAAAAATAAACCCAGACGATCATAAATAATGTAAACTAAGAGGTCGGAATGGTCCTAAAACGGTTAAAAACCCAGAATGACCGCGGAAAGATTTGGTAAAAAGGAAGCAAGGGCTGACGCTGCTGGAGTCTCGTGTTAAAGCAATTTATCTGGGATTACAAGGGTTCGCCTAACAAAAGAGACCACTGTTTTAATTAAGGAAATCCGATTACAGCGCACGAGAAAGGTGGCTCAGGTTTTCTCGGTGAACTTGGCAGACAAATCGTATTCATTAATGCAACCATTAGATAATTGTCCTTGGTTAAATTATCCACTAAGAGCAAGTAGGGTTTGAGTACAACGACGCTTGCGTGTAACATGATGATTGGATGCAGATCATTTTTACTCAGTGCCGCCTTAAGTCGTGTGCCCTTTATTTAAAAGATTATCACGCTATTGCTGTCAATGGCTGTTGGGATTATGTGCTGAACCTTCGCTCTAAAGTACTTGCGCTAAGAAAGAATTCTTGGTCAAGTTTCACTTAAATTTTCTTCCATTAATTATAGCTGGCATACTTGTGAAATCATGCGCAATAACGGTGTCACTTTATTTCTAAATTTTATAAAGCCATCTCATACATCTTAGTGTATATGCTTCAGCGACAGAGCGCGCGCGTGCCGTTTGCCTGACATATTTAGATTCAAGAAGCCTTCGCTGACGTTTTGGCCTGGAAAAGTCAAGTTGATCTAATGTTTACATAACAGTTTCCATATGTCGTGCGGCTTTTAAGCAATGCGCAAGGACATGACCTTGCTAAGGTATAAATATAACAATATAATGTACATACAGCGCTTTCCGTACGGGGCATTGAACTCTTTTATATGTCTTAACAGGGAAAGGTTTACGTACCACGGTCCAGGCTCATATTTCGCGCTAATCTTCTCGGGTTCCTTAAATACATGACCTACGAGAGAAAACAGTTATCAGATTAATTATCAAGCGAAATTTCTAGATGGAAATTCCTAGTTTTGTTTGTGCTGTCTGTTATCTTTGTGGAGGTTCTTTGTGGTTGTGCATGTGGTTGTTGTGGTTTAGTGGTGAAGGTGGTGATAGTTATAGGTGTTATTTATATTGTAATAATAGTGTTGTGGTTTTGATAAGGTTTTTTTGTGCATTTGATGGTTTGGCGTACAGGTTTTGGTGTTTTTAAATAATCTACCGTAGTGTGCAATTGGAATCAAAATTACAGTACATTAACACGCCCTTGAGTGGAATTAAGGAAACCATGTCGATGACAAAAGAATTCAACTCTACTACTCGACTTTAAGTCATGGCGCATGCGCACTTCATCCGTTTACAGCAGCACCTCAAAGCTCACTAGATGCGTTTTTTCACTCTCGTTTATAAACAAACACAACTCGGTATGCTTTTGAGTATTTGAAAAAAGTTATTTTAGCATCAATGTCACTGCCTATAAATTCCGAAATACAATTGCTATCTCAGTGCGCATGCGTCTGTTTACCGGTTTACGAAGAACGCGTTGCGCATGCTCGAGGAAATAATAGAATAAGAAATGAAGGCTCTGGGTACGAGATTGCACAACATCATAAAGCAATTAGTTCTCGCATTCCCGGTGAATAAACACCTTCCGACATTTTTTTAGGATTATAAGTTAATAATGTTAGTTTTAGCACCAATAAATTGCGATTGATATTGATTGAATTCTGACCTTGACATCTATATTTGTTTTTAACAGCGTGTTATATATATACGAGTCAACAACACATCTAACTCGCACAGTCATATTGCTGACCCATGTCACTCCTTGTCTAGACAAAAACTTCCTACTTAACCTTGTACACTTCGTCTCTCTTAATAAGAGAATGACAGAAATTTGAATTAACACTTCTTATCTTGAACTCCTTTTTATCCACTCTATGTTGTGGATAAACGCCTTGATGTTTAAACAGCGAAGAAAGATTGACTTGATAATCGATTCTTTTCATACGACTTGGTCCTCGCTGTAAATTCATTTTAGGACTCATTTTAGTTTGGTATTTTGTCACGATCTAGGGCTTGACTATAGACTAGAATGACAGTGATGGTTGGTAATGGTGTGCCCTCGAGCAGGATGCATTATTTTAATGGAGCTTGAAAATCTAAGATGGATCTTTTGTGACACTGAGTCTCCGAAAGAGGAAAAGAAAAACCGTGATAAAAGGAAACAAGAAAAAGGGAGACATACTAACGTGCCAGCAAAAACATATGAAAAAAACGCAATTTCCCGTATTTCTCTCAATATATATTTTTTCTTAGGAGTTCACTAGGCCTCCCAAAGATTCAGCTAGGAAAACAGCAAAAGCATTCATCAAAAACAAAGGAAAAAATAGCATTTCCTGTACATCTCTTTAAAAAACATTTTTCTTAGGAATTCACTATCGTCCCAAAGATTAAGTTATTGATTCTCTATGTTCCCCACCCATGGGCGCGACCCAAATTCACGATCGACAAGCCCAGTAAGAGTCAATATTATTTAAAAGATGTTTGGTAATTACATGCATTTTTAGAATAGTTTAAAGCAATTCCCTAAGGTAGGGCTTCAGCAGAGAGGATCAAACACTCCTGTTAATGCCACAGGGATTCCACACGACTTTTCTTACTTGTTAATACCATAGGGTTCCCACACGACTTTTCTTACCTTTACTAATTAAGTACTGCATAGCATTTCCCATGAGCCTGCAATAGTCCAGACCAGCTGGATTATTGTTATTTGTATCGATATTACAATCTGAATACATGTTAAAGAATAATGTAAACATAAAACAACAGGTCGTGTGACAAACGTCTGCCTATATTCAAGAGCTGCTAGACTTTGGGCTCTGGCGTTGGGTTCGATTAAGAGATTCTTTTACTTTGGGTATAGAGCGTTTTCACTCACGTGACAAAGGCAGCTATATTGGTGTATCAAACAATAGAAACTTTATGCACAGTTTTTGCATAAAATAGAGCTCAATTCCCCTAGGATAGAAAATGTATTGTTTTGGTACACCAACATGGCCGCGGTGACGTCACGTGACAACTTGTAGTGTACATTTATACATTTGTACAAATATCTTATGAGATGCATAATAAAAAATAACCATTTTCAACTCTTAAAACCAACTGATTCATATTCTTTACGATCTAATGGACAAGAAAAAAATATTTTGACAGTCATTGAATGAAACAAACAATAAATAAAGCGATTTTTCTGTTTTGCATATCATTAAATATACTGAATAAATTATATATTTGTATAAATGTACACTACAACGTTTCTGCAATCGAGTGTATATATATATATATATGTATGTAATATTTAAACTAGAGCGTAATACATTTACAGTAGCAAACAAAAATACAATCATTTAAAGACTCGCTACTTTTGACGCCATGTTGCCCCATTTTAGAAATCATAGTCATTTATCTTGGATACCAAGACAAATGGACTCTTCTTAAGATTGATTCTAGCGCGAGGCTAACATGAAAATACAGAAGAAATGCCAACAATTCCATAGAGAAAAAATGTGATGTCTTTTGAAGGGTCCATTGATATTAATTTAATGAAAACATTTAGAAAAAAGATTTTAATAGCAAAGTATAGCAAATGAGACAGCATTTGGGGAACTGAAAGCTATATATGACGTAATGTGACGTAATATCCGCCATGTTGGAAGAAAGTGAACTAAAAATTGCCACTGTTTTTAGTCTTTGTTCTTCATAGAATATTTACCAAATTAATGGTCTATAACGGATATGCCATTTCTGTTTCAGCGTTTCTTTATTCTAAATAATTTTTGACCAAAAATTTATGAATAACGTCTTTAGGAATTGCAACAACTGCAATATATTTTTCTAGCTTGATGTATTTTTCCCATTTTAGACCACGTGTCATTCCCATGAGAATGCGATTCTTTGTTTGAGTTGTATCCATATCCATGTGTCTTCTCATGCGCAACCATTAAACAAAGAAATAATAATCTAGGTAATGACACGTTGTTTGAAGTGGGGAAACATTACGCCCAACCTAAAGAGGTTTATTGCAATTCATTTAAATGCTGTCTCATTTTCCATAACGTTTCGTCAAAGGAACTAAATAATTTATTAGGTTTTCGTCTTATATTTAACAGGTTCATCAAAACCCAAAGACAACAAAAGGATACAGGAGATAATATCTTCAAGACTGTTAAATTCTGTCCCATTCTTGGCGATTTTCCGAAACTCTCTCCTGAGGTCATAATACGTGTAGAAGTTGTGTGAAAGCTTGAGTTTCTTCTTAATGGCTTCGCAGTGTAAATAATGTCTTAGTGTTAGGTCTCCGTCTGTTACCACACACCATTTTTCACCTTGATTCGCTAAGTTCTCCTCCAAGAAATCCTCAAACTGTAAGTAGAATTAGTTATAATATATCTGAGATATAACGCGCCCTCTGATTGGCTGCTTACAGTGTTTATACTGAGGACAGAGACACGCTTGCGCGAACTCGTGCAAACATATTTTATAAAAGCAATATAAAACAGCTGCTTATGTCTCTGTACTGTAATATAACTAACACTCTGAGAGCTGTAGAGCACCCGACTCGTATTCCTAAGCTTGCTTCTCTTTTGTTACTTTTACAGCGTGTTATATCACAGTACAGGGATACGCGCGCACGTTTTGTATTCCTTACATAAATCCGCCTTCTTCAGCTTGGGCTTGATGTATTTTTCATTTCAAACTACGTGTCATTCTCTTGAGAATAAGATGTTGTTTGAGTTGTATCCATATTCTTGTGCCTTCTCATGCACAACCGTTAGACAAAGAAATGATACTCTAGGGAATGAGACGTGGTTTGAAACGGGATAACATTACATCCAAACCAAAGAGGTTTATTAGTTTAATATAGGGTTAGCTTGGGAACAAATGCAGTGCATGAGTGCGCAAGGGACGAGGTCCGAGTTAAATAAGGAAAAAGTTAGATAATGATTTATTGCGACAAGCGAAGCCTTGTTCGTATTATATGTAATGATGTTAGAAAAATTCCATAAAACACAACACAATCAACACCAACGCCACCACAAACAACAAAATAACCATGACAACATCATCATCAACAACAACAACATCAGTGAGACCTTGCCAGATAATAATCATTAATAATATAATAATCATAATTAATAAGATAAATATCATCATTGAGGTAACAACTAAATTACTTTCTTCTCAAGCGTTACTGAAAAAGGAAAGAAATAACACTCAAGGGAATCAGATTTGATCTRGAATGAGAAAACATTACGCATAATCTGTAGAGGTCTTTTCATATAAAAGTCTCTTAGTAGTGCAGAAAAGTAAATACGTGTCTTTCTTAAAACGAAAAATGAGTGTATTCCTAATGAATAAGTTTTATACGATGAATTATGGATCATATCATGTTATATTATTCACATAAGAGAAAATCTTGATAGCTTCCGAGGTGTGCCAGGTGAATTTGTCTCACTTGTGAATCCTATATCACCATGTTACACAAAGGCAATTGCATTGTATAATACTATTATTAGCTTGGTTAAATGTATTTTCTTTGAGAAAGGGCTCTATAAGAGAATGAGCTATAGATCTCAAGACTTCTCTTCAAATGCGAAGGTCAGGCTACACAGAATATCACTAAAAATGTACGTAATGAATGTATTTTTTAGACAACGCTCTGGGTACAAGAACTTAAGTGAATAAGAATAAATACTAAATTCAAGGCTTCTTTCAAATTTGAAGGCTAGACTTTACAGAATATCACTAAACATCGTACAAAAATAGACTGAGATTTTATCACATCTGATAATGGAGGAATTTGTAGCGACAATATTCTAAGTAATGTAGAATAGATGAAGCATAATAGGCTCATCATCATTATCACTAACATCAACTTTCTTATCAGCCTGTGGTTGCTAGGTTACCATCAACACCAATGAAAATAAAGTTGTATACGAAAAAAGGTTTTTTTCAATTTTTTTTTTGTGTGCAATATAGATAAAGATGCAATAAATCATTAATTGGATTGATGTACGACTTCAATAAAGATATAATCTTTTTGAAAAAGAAAATGAAAGTCCTTTGAGGAAATGGTAAAAGTGAGCGTCTCTTTCGAAGTTATACTTTTTATTTTCAGCTGATTCATCTTCATTACAAATCGCTATCGATTTTCCACGGCGTTTCAAACGGTTATACCTTGTCAAAAAAGATAAATTCTATCTCCTGTAAATCATTCCTCGCAATTATCCACTTACCGCTTCTACTAGACTAGCGAACGAACCTGTCACTCCTAAAATATTTCCAGCAACTAAAATGTAATCAACTTTATGGAACACCGTTTGAAGACTTTACACAAGAAGAGTTGATCAATATATTCCCTCTGATAAGAGTTGAGTGAGTGACAACGTAATTCAAAAACAGCTCTCTCTTGATTAAGTGGTTCGATAGCTACAAATTACAGTGTGGAAACTTGAGAAAAAAGCGATGTTGGACCATAAGGAGTTAAATTTAAGCTTTCTAGTGGATTCAGTTTCGTCTTGATGAAACATACGTTTCTGGTCGATGTTGTTTGTAAAGCTTGAGCTCGAAACGAGGCATTTATTTATTTAGTGCTCAAATTGATGGGCATTTTAGATTTAGATTTCATTAGCACCTTGTACTCTGGCGATAAATAAGATCAACACAAAAAATACAGCAAATAAGACCAAGATTAAACATCAAAACGTTCTCCTAAAAAAGCTTTAACGCGCGGATGCTTTTTCTTAAAGTTTGTATAAAGCGCGCGTCACGCTTTAACATAAAATTGAAATTACATAATATTGCCAGCAGACTCTTTTTTTTCTTAGAAACTTTTTCTTGAAAATCTTCTCGCTTGAAACCAAGATCTTTAGGTTTAAAGATTTTTTTCTTGGAATTCTTCGTTAGTATAAAAAGTCATTCACAGTAAAAATTTCCAAGCCGTGCTATTAATTGAGCGCGTTAGAGTCTTGTGGACACAAGACGCAACAGCATAGGAAATAATAAGTAAATAATTTTTCATGCCGTGCCAAAAGATAATTCCATTATTAAATTTTAAAAACTTTTTACGAAGGAGGGGAAAAAATAACACACCAAGAGACTGTTTTTTTGTTTACAAAAAGTTCGGAAGAAAAAGAGTTTTTGTTGTTATTTCATATAGATTTTGGCCAAAGCATGGTCCCTCTCTAAGATGTTATACTCATAGGCATGGATTATTTGTTTTTTCGTCTTTCTCTTTTTCTATTGTATTTAATTGATACATTGTTTTTCCGCTGTTTTCCCACTGTGTATTCAGATGAAGTTCGATTACATTCGATTTATGAAAACATGCCTTGCACCTTGTACATATGGCTCGCAGCTGTCAATACAAAAGAGGAAAAGGAGATCTCCACTGCGGATCGAAACACAAAATTTTTAGAACCATCATTGAATATTTTCAGCAATCGGTATCATAAATAACACAACCACAGAAAGAGGATTACGAGAGGAAGGGCAGACAAGGCTCTTAAAAAACTATAAATAGTTTATGAATTTAGAAAGTTCTTGTTACAAGAAATTTAGAATAGATTTTTCCATTTATTTTTGATCAGGACGATCTCCCCTAGGCAACCTCAAACATTTTTCTATCGTTTTTTCAAAAAATTTCTTTTTCGTCAAACGATCATAGATTGAAAGTTTTGTTAAGCAATTCCTGTTCATCATTTAATAAAGTGTTGGGGTATTCTTGGACACAATCACTGAAATTTGACCAATATGCTTTTAAAATTTTAATTTTCCAATGAAAGAAAGGGGACACCTATCTTATTGTGTGTATAGCAATCTTTCAAATTGGTGCGTATTTTTGGTGGTTTTTTTTCAGATGTTTTTATCTAACCGGGTTACATTCCCTGGCTAATTATCTCGCCTATAGAGCTTTTGCTCCTTCCTAATTGTTTTTTGATTTTACAGACAGTTCTAGATTCCAATACGCTCTGTTTTGAATACAGCAAGCGTAATTTGAAAAGAGCGTTGACACCGCGATCTCACAATAGGCAAAACATGTTTAAGATCTGTGTCTGCGATGAATAAACACCGAGCCTCTGTTGATAATAAATRGCCGGGATTTAAAAGATATCAATAATTCCTAACGAGAGCATGATTTCAGATTCTTGAATAGATAATTTGATTCTGTGACCTCAATTTCGTATTTTTAAAAAATCGTACAATGTTATTAATATAAGCTGTCTATGTATTGATTGTGGGATATTTTCAGAGCAGACATCGGCGCCGTTAGAGGAAATCACGATTCTAATTTGAATCCCTGTAAGTTTTAACAGGAATGACAAACGCTTTTGGAAATATTAGAGCAGTCAAGTGTAAAGATGAGAAAGAAAAAACAAAATGGCGGTTTTGGAAGCTTTTTCACACGTGCCTAAGTGTGAAGAGTGTACATATTGGTTGGGAAATCTTTCTGCGGTTGACCCTTTCTACCATAAAATACATAAAAGGGTCTGAACAATATGGAAATATAGGAACCTATTTTACATAGATTTGAATGAGATATTTACTCATCAAATCGCGAGGAGAAAAACGAGATTTTGTTGGGGTATATATGTGTAAAGGAGCGCGCGCGACAACGATGTGTCAGCAAACGCGTTAAAAAAATTATAAAGTTTTGAAACGTAAAATCTGTTAGTTTTGCTTGTTGTATCGATTCTGGTTCAAATTTTCGCTCTCCTTTGACAACAATGTAGTATTTAAAGCATGAATTATGTATAAAGTCAAAAGCCAATTTCAAAACAAGAAGCCAGGAGATTACCGTGACTGAAGGATGGATTTCCTTTCGATTGGGGTCAGGAGAACATCATGTTGTTCACGAGGAACTTCAAGTCCACATCCAGGAAAATGATCGCGATAAAATCACTCGCTGTCAATCTTAATCAGACACGCAGAATATTGTCATTACAGTAAAAAATGACGTCCAAACAATCAACTAAACTCGCAGATGAAAATCATTCTATATTTTCTTTCTGCTATCTGTCAATCAATCAGCGTTTGACGGGTCAACACTCGAGGGGTTTTCCGAAACGTACACAAAAAATCCTAAATACATCGTTTTCAGGACCGTGTATCGAGAGAGATAAATCTATAAACCGAATACCAATTCCAAGTCAAACTCAACTAATATAAAAGCGTATGATACTTTTGTGCCTTTGTAAAACGTATTAAACCAAGAAGTACTAAATCTTACTGAAATGACATGTAATATTCGCTTAACTAGATGACTGACCGTCAAAAAAATTCCGGCGACGTTCAAAAATGCATTTTTCTTAATTCCAAATGAAACGAGATTTAAATTTCTTCAAATTGGGGTCGAACGTATTCCATAGTAATTTCAAAGAAAAAAAAATTGTGTATTTGACACAGATTTCCTGTTAATTACAGCCTTATTTAAATACGAGCCTTCATATTACTGAAACGACGAGCATAAATAAATTCGTTAAGATCAAAAAATATTGTGCAGGGGGTATCTCGCTAGCCCTAAAGACGTGCCAAAACGGGAAATTTATTTTAGGCCGTACAGGATTACCCCCAGACCCCTGTTGATTTGATCTCAGCAATATTGAGTCACGTTTATGAAGATTTTTGAAGAATAAATTTCAAAGTGAATATTCTCTTTGCCTTCTCCATTTCCTTAGAAACCGGTACAGTCGTTAGTATTCGACTTCTTTATTCTATTGGTCCAACTCGACTGTGATTAACACTTAAAAGAGTGACATTAATATTGCATATCGACGTAAATTCAAAAATTATGTTTTTCTACGGGGGGTTTTATTAGAGAACTTGGTAGGCTTTAAAAATCTCGATATTTTCCTAGTCAAACCAAAGCTTTCTTAATAAAATTAGAGACTGATTATAATAATAGCGAAATAATCTACGTCCCAACGGATCTACCGAGCTACAATTTCCTTTACTATAGAAAATAAAAGTTTACATAGTCCTTTATGAGATAATTTACTTCAAAAAAATTTCCCCACAGTTTCAGTGTATATATTTAATGCCGAAGCGCGCTGGAATACATTATAGCTCTTCTATTTTTGTATAATAGTAGTGCTTTAAGAAAACTTAATGGCTGGACTAAATATTTTATGTTCTATCCATATTGTCTTGTATTTTTCTCCTTTCAAAAGATCAACATCAATAATACTGAATGATTTTAAGTAACGCACTTCTCTAGCGTCCGTTCATTCCTCCTTCTACATCGTACACGACAAGCGATAATACTTTCCTTGACAATGAGTCTTAATCCAAGGGTTTTAAAATTCCGAAGAGCGAGAAGAATAATACATCGGATCGAGTTTTACTCTAAAAATATTTCCTCGCTTCGGGATCCCCTTTAATTTAGACAGCCTTGAATCATAATATATTTTATCCGGAGGTTTTCAACACGTTTGTTACTGGGGAAAAGCGCGAAATTTAGTCGAGCGCAGAGCGTGTGTATGTATGTATGTGTCGTATCGTGAATGAACGGATTGGAATATGTATTGGAAGGAAATATAGATCAGAGTTATTACCTGCCGCAACGCTAGTTCCAGTTGTTCGGCTTCACTGAGTTCACTGGTGGTCGTACTATCCGAAATATCTTCTGAAGATTTCACAACACTGTGCTGGACACTTCCAAGCTAAACTCGGCATAGATTGAGGAAAATAGACGATGATGAGCATAACTAGAATAAAATGGTTCAAACCACCTAACCCCATAAAAATGTCAACAAGAGGACGAAAATTTGTTATCTACACCGCGATACATAACAAAACTTTCTAATGGCTAAATATAAATTCTAGGACCAATTTTTCTAGCAATATCAACAAACCTCGTTCGATTTAGCGTTCACAAGCAACCAAGAGAGAGCTGTGACATTTTCGTCCTCGCTATCTGGTTCACGCTCTTGAGACGGTTCCGTGATGCATTGAAGACATACAAAATTATCCAGCGAACCCATATTTTGGCTCGGAGAGAGGCGAATCAATGAGATGTTGTTCTGATGTGTGGGAGCAGAAAACCAGCCGGACTTCTTACATGTCACATGAGAAACCGGTAGAATCTTGCCTCTGATTGGCTGGAGACAATAGCGGGGGTTGTACCCTACGCCACGTGGATCAAAACCAATTACCACGGATCACTGGCACTTCGGTTTCCCTGTACAACTTTCCAAGGAATGACTCTGCCAAGGCAACGGTATAGCTTGTTGTGCAATTCAATATTTTGGTACACGCTCTAGCGAGTACACGACACGGCAAAGACAGGATCGAGGAGTGTTGTGCCCTTCGACGACGCGTTTAAAATTTAATTTTCGTTTCTTTAGCAATGATCTTAGCAAATGTTGACAGTTCATATGAGAATGCTGTCCATTTGGGATCACATCACCGACATCCAGAGGGCAAGTCCTGGCTATTTAACTGGTTTCTTGCCAAATTAGAATTCGTTATAGAACTGGTTGTGTTGTGAGGGACTTAAGGCTACTTCCGCTCTCGATCTAGCAGTTATTTTTAAGGTTTCTCAGACCTCTTAAAGCAGCCGCGAATCACTTTGAAAACTCGAGCGTCGAGAATTCAGAAACTGCCAGTCATTACAGAGAACAGCCATCAAAACATTACATTAGGTTTGTATTTTTGGCTTTTCTTTACTGTGATTGAACACAAACTTCCGCCCCGAATTGTGTATACCGTGTTATACAGTGACTTGACTTGACAGATTCTGAATTTCAAATAAACTCCCATGGTGAATGGTACGGTGACTTGGAATAGAAATCCACCAGTTAAACGGAAAATGAACCGCAGAGTCGCCGCTTGAATATAATATAATTCCCCAAAAGCACTTTTCTTTTGAATAATAATAAAGAAAAACTAAGTGTAGGAGGAGAGCGAAAATCTAGTATAATGTACGAGTAATATAAAAACGGCTTGACCTCCTTTCCGTTGAATCTTGAATTTCTCGCAGAACAAAAATGCGACCGTCACGAGGAGTACAAGACTTCCAACCACCAACACTAGTACTTGCTGGGTCAAGGCCTCGTTGTTGACCTTAAAAATAAAACGGAGTAAGGATTTTCAAAATTTGACTTCAATAGTCATGTGGGAGATCTCTTTAACCGACAGCTTCGACATAAACATCTTTATTTACAGCTTTCAAAATCACGGAAAAGGAAAACTCGATTGTAAACGGGAAATTCCCTTACACATTGTGCGGATTTTACACAACTCGGAATTCTTTGCTGACTGAAGTAAATATGCGTGGGGGAAAAAAAAAAGAAGTCGTTTTGAATTTGTACATTTTTTTAGTAGGCACTGAAGTGAAGTTTATCTATCTCACGTTCAGCAAGTCAGTGGTGTGTATATATTTGCATTCTCATTGGATAAAATTCCCATCAATTTCAACTCGCAGACGTAAAATTGTTTTTACTGCATACAGTAGGTCAGTTCTAAGTTGATAAGCGATAAAAATATTGAAGTCTTTTGAGGGAAAAAAACATAAATCTTCTAGCTTGTCAATTGCTTAAGAACTCTTCTTTTTTGTCCTTTTATTTTGATATTCCTTGCTTACAATATAGAGCTAGAAGTTTTGTTATTTACTTTTCCCTCGAATGTCTTTCAGACGCCCACTCTTTAAACATATACATTCTTTCAAATTTGATTCAATTTTCATTTCCAACCAAAATAATTTTCTTTCATTCCTTGATTTCAATTACATCCATTCTGGAAAATAAAGGCCGAATAACTAAAAAGGAAGCAACGAAGTTCCGAACACAACAGATTTAGGAATTAATCAGCTAGTAATGAAAATTCACAGGCCAATTGACCAAAATGTTATTTTGAAGCTATAAGAGAAATTACTTGGCTTTTCTCAACCCCCCAAAACGCGTTCAAAAACCCAAAAGCCCATTGACGAAGTGGGAGGAAAATGAACATTTAAAATCTCTTGAGTTTTCCACTTTTCGGAACACAAGAAAAAAAACAAAAAAATTCTCTTTCGCATTGTCTTCAAGAGAATCCTGAACAATGATCAATAATGAACTGGTTAATGATATTTTTGATCAGGAAAATATATGGCTTCACTTGCTGGCATTTTGAAAACGGAAATATAGTTCTTAGTCCTATTAATCTAGCAAGGCATATTGTTTTTTTATCTTGGCGAGTTTGTTATTGTATATAAATATCGTTGGAATTCAGTTGGTCTGATATTGGGGAAGGTAAATGCTGATTTTCGTAGGCAAGAAAGATAAGCTTTTTTTAACGACTACATTCTCTCATTTCCATTCGAAAAATGCTAGAAAAATTTTGTGATATCTTAGAGATGTCAGCTTTATACCCATCACGCAGACCTATGGAGAGTATTTTCTCTTTTTCGGTAAGGTTTGATTTAACGAGATTTGAATTAGGCGAGGTACAGGTTTTGATAGTGTTTACCTTATGAGAACAAAAGCGTTCATTCATAGAAAAACATTATAATAGAAGCAAAGTCCCAGTGCCTAATGTTAGATATTTCTCAGGCAGTTCCGTAACCTCGAGTAACTGTTTACAAAAAAGATTTCTCAAAGCCAAGCTAAATCAATATTATGCGATGTTTCTAGGTTCGACTTGGCCAGTTTGATGTCACTTTTTCAGGAAACAATTCAGTTGAGAGCAATCTTGGTGGAATCTCGTCACGACGCGTCAATTAAGCTTGTTTAAACCATCTAAAAAAGTAATTCAAATGAAATGCTAGTGCCCTCTCTTAACTGGGAATTATACATCAATTCTGGATAAATTCTCCGTAGTAAACAAAACAATTGTGACGTTCTTGTTAGAAAATGTTGTTGGTGTGAAGACAAAAACAGAAATCGGAAAACAGATTTGACAATGGCAAAGTAAATTAATAAATGCTAGTGCATTTAAATGCGGTTTATAGCTTTTGATTTTTTTATAGATTTTCTTGGACAATTTGACTTCGCTTTTGTTAGGAGCTTAGAATTTGACTTACAGTTTGACAGTTTAGGATATTCTGAATGGTAAGGCCAAGCTAGGCCCCAAACTTTGAGATTTAATGAACTGTTTTGTCCCTGTTTTTTCAATTAAAGCGCGAAAAGACTTTTGAGAGAGAGAAAAATGGGAAATTACTTTCGTCTTAGCGCGTTTGAAATTAGCTTCTAATGCGGAGGTGTTTCTGCATTCATTGTTTTCGTCTACAATAACAAATCATATCCAAGTTAACGACTGCATTATGATGTCTTCTTTCAAAGGAAATCGTTTCCAAGGCCAAAGGGTCTCCATGAAAATATAATACCATCATCTTTCGTTGCAAGATCTGGTAATCAATATTTAACCCTACAAATTATTCATTTTTTACCGGACAAAACAGACGTCTCGTTAGATTAATTCAATCTTATTTTGCTCCGTACGAAATAACCCCACATACAACTGATTGTTTCAAAACCATTGTATTGAAACCTCGTTGTGTACTTCGTCAATTAAGTTTGTACCCAATTCAAAATTTTAACAAAAACCTTTTTAATGTACGTCATAAAAAATGAATTTAAAAAGTCAGTCGTTATTTACGAGATAATAAATTGTCTATATCCTCGTGTAATCTTTCTAAATTACTTTTTTAATTGCATTTTCAAGTTTAGGAGATCTTTTCCTATACTATTCGACTCAATATCGGTCATGACTGTAACGATCAATGCTGGAAATTAGGGTTTAATTTTACTACCTTCAAGATATCTAGCTCAAAAATATGAATTATTCAGGTGTTTTTGATAAGTTTTGGATGGTTACGTATAACTAGTCTAGTGATATATTTTTCAATTATCACTGAAGGTAGCTTTAATTGGGACTAGAATGGCTGTCGAAACTTTAAGTAATAGTAATATACAGAACACTGAATAATGCATGCACTTATATAGCCAAGTGCAAGTGCGATGTTACTCTCACTCAAATGGTTTTTAAATCAAATGTGTATGGATTTATTTTATCTAATGACATAAAAACCAAGAAGCCACGTAAGTTAAAGCTCTAAATTAGTTCTTGGTTAAAGTACGAGCTTTTTAATGTTGGCGGAGAATGAAAAAAAGAAACACGTTTAACAAAATCCCGCAAGCAGACTTGACTTTTTTCGCAGTTTTTCCGGGACAATTAAAGCTTAAATTGTTTCGTGTGACATCTAAATGGTTTTCTTGTGGCTCTAAAAGGATTCCCTGTCTTTGAATGGCTTCCCTCAGCAACTTTTCAAAGACTGTAAGTTCTGAGTTTCCTCAAAAAAAATTGGCTTATATTTTCCATCTAAATGCAAATACAGTACTTTTCTTATAACATTTACATTCTATTGATTGTTTATGTAAACATTAACAACTTGTTCATATAAGTAAAACTAAGTTGCTACGTGGCTGAGAATTAATTTCAATTTTTTTTAAATTGTTCGTTGTTTATGTTTCTTCTTGTCACTTTTTTTCTTGTTTTCAATAATTTTTCTTCTTCTTCTTCTTCTTCTTCTCTTGGAATTTGTTGTTCTTCTTCTTCTTCTTCTCTTGGAATGTCAAACTTCTCTGCCTTCGTTGTATTAAGAAAACTTTTGCACAACCAATTTGAAACCATTGCCGAAGGATTTCCTATTTTTATCTTTTTGAACTCAAAGTGCTTTTAGTTGATAAACACCAAAACGGTACTAATTATGGGTAATGTTTTCATTTTAAAATGGTGTTCGTTCTTATTACTCGCACAACAGTGTTCTTTACCAACACAAAGCTAGTAATCTAGAGATTGTTTCTTGGCAGTTCAATTGTTATTCAGTGGAAAACAACTGAACCTGACTTTTCAGTCCCTTTGGCAATTTTCTTTTTTATACTCTGTAACGGAAGAATCTTTGCTTTTGGTTCCTCTTTGCCTCTAGATATTGACGTTATTTTAACTTTAAATCGCTTTACTACCAAAATTGCTTATAGAATATTAAAACTCCGAAATTCTGTTTTTCATCACTTAGTCGTCGCTTATGGGAAAGTAAAACTGAAAAACCTAATTATTAAAGCAAATATTGCTCTACCCTATACCCCCCAGCAATA